TCTATTCGCCCGATGTCGACCCATTCTATCTAAGTGCAAAACAATAGAACATAGAACTTGTTTAATCTAGCATGATTCTCATTCATAAAAGGTAAAAGTGTAATACCATCTAAAATCAAGCTTTCATTATATAACACTAACATTAAGTAGCAGTTATAGATGGTTTACTTATTCATGTACTTATTGAATGATGTTTAATTCGCGATTCGTTAGAAAAATGTTTACCATCGTATCATTTCTGCCAATCCAGTAAGTACTTGCATATATGCCGATGTCATGGTATGTTATTATATTAGCTATATATTCAGTGCCGGTTCTGGCGGAGCATCGTTGATTCATTTATGCTCACGCCTCCCCACTAACCATTTTTCAGTGACGGTGTCGAGCGTGGAGCATGGGCCAATGGGTGGTGGTGGTCATAGCGGGGACATTTTTATTAAGATGTCATGTATATTTGAACATGTTTGAATTATTATGTTTTGTTACTTGCTTCCACATTCAGAACAATATTCAGAATTTCAGTTTATGTATGCCTAAAATCCTGAGATTTTCATGGTGGCTTATTAGAGTAACGAACTATATCTAGGTTGCATGCATAATAGTTATGAGAACAGAAATGAGAATTCAGTTCAGTTGAGTAGCATCCCGCAATTAGATTAAAGTATTTTCGAAAAAGTTAAATTGAGTTTTTTTAAAATTAAATCAGTGTTTTTCCATTTATAGCGTGAAAAATTTACTCTGATTATAGTAAGTTTACGCGGGGTGTTACATCATCACTGCGTCTCCGGTTGCTCGTCGGACCGTCTCGGACCTTCGGCAAGTTAGTCGGACCACTCAGACCATTCAGGAGCCGTCTTGGGCATGAATCGGAGCTGCTGGACTGAGTTGAACTGGGATGGATCGGGTCTGGTCAGGTATAGGTCGAACTGGACTAGATTTGGTCTGTTCTGATCATTGTTGTCGAGGAATAACTCGATGTGGGTCGCGCGGCTCGCGTTGGGCCGAAACTGCAGTTGCATGTCTGCTTCAGGTCGCTAGGACTCGAGGAATTACTCGCTACAACCTCTGGTCACGCGAATAAATCGTTGAGTGATGCATCAGGTGGCCACTGCACGTAGGGTGCACGAGGACTTCGCGGATCTTACTCGGGTTGCGTTTGGGGCACGTGGGTTACGCGTCTGCTTCGTGGGTATTCAACCGGGTCGCTGCAGAAACACGCGGGTCGCACACTGGAGAGTTGTGGGCGTCACACAAAGAATACGGGGTCGCAGCAGGGCTGCACGTAAAACTCGCGCGGCGGTGTACCTAGATGTTGCCTGTGCATGGCGATGAACTAGGTCGTCTGCGTAATTGCACGTGGTTGTGCATGGTTTGTTGGGCACCGGGAGCTGCAACACGATTTTGCACGGGTTGTGCGGTCTGGGACTCCACTGTACACGGTCAGGGGTGGCTGAATAGGGACAGACGCTGGTTGAGCACTTCCAAGGTCGCCAGTGGTCGTCGGGTGATTGCCGGTGGCTGGGGGATTAAATATATTCGACGGGATCCTTATAAATTCGTCGGGATACAAATAAACGACCTTGAATCTTCTATTGTATGATCTTACACGATCTCCAATAAATCTTGGTGGAGAGATAAATTGGATCTCCCAAAGCCTCTCGTTTTTCTTTTTCTAAGACCTCTCGGTTTTATCTGAATTTTTTCTCAAAGAAGAACTTTCTTTTATATTTTTCTCACAAATTTGACCAAGTATGATCAGCCATGCTTGTGAATGGCGTGTAAAAACATCATCCTTGGAGGCTAGGGGACTTAGTGTATTTATAAGCTACAATAGGGACCCTAAGGAGGTGCTAAATATGGGCTTTTCAATCCAGGGCAAGTGTTCGGATTTATTATGACATTAGTCTAAGGTTAAGAAACCTAAAAATCCTCCAACTCCTTTCCCTTGTAGAAGCCTTAATCCCTTCCAACTTAATTTCCCCTTCTAAAAGACATTAAAGTCTTCCATCCTTGGTAATATTCTAGAAGAAATTATATATTTCTAATTAGGAAATAACCTCCAAGTCTTCCATCCTTGGTAATATTCTAGAAGAAATTATTTACTTCTAATTAGGAATTTAAAAGAAGATAAATTAATTCCTTTTTCCTAATTGAATAAATAAAAAAAACATTCCAATACAGTAATATTATTGCTCTGCCCCATTTAGCTCTGAATTACAATTAATTGATCTTCTGACTTGTCTATTGACTAATTGCTCGATTTACCCTCTCATGATTATGGAATAACATCCATTGATTAATTTAATTACTGACAATAAAAATAATCAATTTCTTTTATCACGTAGGATCCAAAAATAGTACCGCTCAATTCATTATCCATTATGTCAGAAATTAATCCATCAGTCGGGCTTGACATCATGATCCTTCTTGAGCTTATTTCGAGGAGGCAAAATTGCATTTTTAGTCCTGCTGGTTTAACGCCATAGCATTTTTAGTCCCACGATTTCAACTTTTTGTCTTTTGATCCTGTAATTTAATATTTTGCTGTAACAAAATTTAAAATTACAGGACTTCAATTACTAATCAATAATATTAGCAATAAGATTTCTGACAAAAATGTTCGACATATTGTGGGTCTAAACTTAGGTGAAAAAAAGTAGTCAGAAAATGAGATTCGTATTATGCGGATAATATTCAAACATGTTCGCATATTGGTAAACTATGCGGTTGATAGATATGTGATTACAAATATCGTTTATTTATATTGATTTTTTCTTTTTTGTCATTCCGTTATAACCCGCATATTGTTTGCAGTTCGAGTTACCATTTACTTTTATTTATTTATATTCATTATGCACCATACGATATATCACACTTGTTTTGCAATTCTTCAAAATTCCTTTTAATTAAAAATTTCCGTTCGAACATTGTCGCTAATTTTGCTAGAAAATCTATGTTGTCGGACATTAATAATTCATTATCCACGCAAAATAATTTTTTAACACATGAATCTTGATTAAACACATAATTNTATGACCACCCAAATTGGATCGTCAACCGAAGCACCAAACCACCCTCCAAGTCGATCATCACTGCGTTGCGCTTGGTAAAAACCTCGTAGCACTCATGATACCATGGGAATCCGTACCAACAGAAAAATGACTGAGCGTCTGTCTCCTCCTGAGTAATAAATTTGAAACGTTTTAGGGTTATGAACGCGTCGCAAAATGCATGAACAAACTAAAATAAAAAATCATTTCAGCTCATCCACATACAACCAGTGCATTGGTTAACACTTACACGGTCAGCATCGCCACTCACTCAGACTCTTGGAATCAACAAAAAACTTAAAAATTTATCGAAATAATTTCTGAGCCGTTGAATCTTTCCTCGGACTTGGACAATATAATACTCCTTCTTCATGGCATAACTCAGCGTGCGGTTCAGAGAACGTGTAATTTCTGGGCACAAGGAAGTGAACACAGGGTCCCAGTGTATGTCTGTCGTCTCACGGAACTTCTTGAAAAACACTCGGTAGCAAGCATGTTCTTCACCCTTGGTCCTCTCCACGCCTCGGAAGCGGAACGCGATCTGCTTATTCCTTGCAATCCTATCCATTTTTTTTTCCAAACATGCTTAACTTTTTTTTTTTTTGCTGCGATGGGAATATAAATGATTTTATTATTGCTAGTGTTTTTTAATTGTTTTTGGTTTCGAGAAGTGAAAGGGTAATTAATGAGAAATAATAATGGTGGTATATATACATGTCATTTGTCTAAGTTTTTTACGTGAAAAATCAGATAATCAGTGTGATGCGTAAACTATGCGAATAAAATGGAGAAGAGTACTAAATTATGCAGCTTTCGATTTGTATGTGCGATTATTAAATATGCAAAAATATTATGCTTACTCGTGAATTAAACAACGTTATAGATTTAGATATATGAGTCGTAAACTATGCGAACACTTGTCGCATAATTCTTGATTATGCGACATTTGGTTTGGATATTCGATTCTTGAATATACCAAAACTTCTCGCATATGGTAAATTATGCGGTGGATTTAGATATGTGAGTCGTAAACTATGCGAAGTACGTCGGATAACATAAAATATGTGACGTCCGATTCGGATACGTGGTAACAGAATATGCGAAAAAAATCTCGCATATGGTTTTGAATATGCGAGTCGTGAACAATGCGACAGTATGTCGCATAATCATAAAATGTGCGACGCTCGATTTGAATACGCGATTACATAATATGCGTAAGTATTTCGCATGCTTGTTAAGTATGCGTCCGATTTGGATATGCAAAACATAAAATATGCAAAAACGTGTTGCGTAATCATAAAATACGCGGCTATCAATTTAGATATGCGATAATTATATAGACGAAATAAATTCGGATAACAAAAATTAAGCAATGGATTTGGATATGCGTTAATATAAATACGACAAAATCTCGCATAATTGTTAATTATGCGGTTCATTTTGATATGCGATTTATCTCGAATATAGGTTCATGAGTATTTGGGTGAAAAAGAAGTTTTTTTATGAGACATTGTATAAAAGAAAGTGCATATATATATTGGGGTGTAAAAAAAATTCACCCTTATATATATACACACAAAGTTTTTAATGAAACGTTTTCGTTTTCATGTATTTTTCGATTACACATAATAATATTATTTTTTTTTTTTAACATTCATCTCTATCTACAATCACCTTTAATTTTTCTTTTGAAAATTCGAATATTTTGACATACAACAACAACAACAACAACAACAACAACTTCCACTCAGTTAGTTGTTTATGATCTTTCAAATTTATAAAAGTTATACTATGTATTAAAAATTATGTCATAAATATAGATATTCATATATACGTTATGCAATTTTATTTTATATTGTTCATTTTTACTAATTGTTAATATTTGAAACTGTGAGGTATTAATAATCTAGCTTATAACTTTAAAAATTATATGCATACTAATAATATATAATACTTTATTTGTGTTAGGTGTATGTACACTAGATGGACAACTAGAGTGGGCACTCCGGCACAATTGACTACTAGTGTACGCACAATCCAAGGCCTTTAATCATAAAGCTAGCTAGACACAAATCAGTTCAACTTGAAGGGTAATGAAGGCATATAATAAAATATTGCCCGAGATTAACACAAAACAAAGAGTTCAAAGGATTAAGGTTCAGTCAGATCAGGTGTGATAGCACCATATAAGGGTTATAAAAAAACTATACATTAAACCATAAAGAGCAGTTGGATGCATGGTATTAAATACTAGTCATCATGGATATTTTTCCCGTGGTATAATCGACGGTGGATAGTTGAAACCATAACGATAAGCACGCCACGGATGGCGAATCTCGCCTGGGCAGATGGCGCATTCACTCTCTGTAGTACGTAAAACCCAATAGATTTTAAATAATAAAAAATGTTAATAACAATAATGTTGTGATGTAACAGAATTATCTAACCTGGGTAACCATCTGTCCACGGGTAAATAGTGTCTGGCTTCTCTTCAGGTTCGGCGGGTAACAATGTAGCAATCACGTATTTATCATCATTCTCCACATAGTAGAGTTCGGCAAACATGCGGCGCAATTGTTCCCTGTGACCAAAACCCACCCTTGCCTCAAAGTTCACATGCACCCAACGTGTACTCTTCTCGGCAAAGTCCATTGAAATCCCAGTACCAGTAAAACTGTTGCCTCCGAAAGCCTTTTCGAACTTCACGTTTGTTCCCTGCTTTTTATTTGTTCAATAAAGATGAGGAAGAAGAGATGAATGACTAGATGCAGCGAAAAGCAAAATATAAAGAGAAGAGAGAAATAACATGTTGCTCGTTGTAGTCCTGTAGTGCAAGTTGTGACAATTTGACAGCATCATCTTCCAACAATTGCTTAGGATCACTGGCCGTGCTGCATCACGAAAATATAGTATCAGTTTTTCTTTTTATTCATTCACCAATCAACAGAAGATAAAATAAATCAGAAGACATAAGAAAGATATTACGAGGCATCAAAACCAGCACGAAATCCATAACGAGGATGGCTTATGAAAGACCAGCATTTCTGACAACCATTGGCTGCACCAGAAACCATTGAGTTCAGAAGAGATGAAGCATAAATATCAACCGACAACAAATCCAACAACTGTGATTATACATACACACATGATAATGTTGTGAACAGGATACCGTTCCAGATTAAAATATTATCAATTGCACCATTCTTTCAACTCCAAAAAACTATGAAAGAATCACCAGTATTACAAAAGAATACTACTATAAATAATATCGAGTTCCGTAGAATATCTAAAATTCAAGAGCTACTTATTCATTCTGAGGTGTACATACACCTGAAGTTCGACTGAAGTAATTGTGTCATTAATTAGTACAAAAAAATGAAAAACTAAAGTAAAAAAAAAAAAAAAAAAAAAAAAAAAAAAAAAAAAAAAAAAAAAAAAAGAAAAAAAGATCAAGAAACAACAGAGCCTAAGTAACCCCGCATATAGTTGTATCAATGTTTGTATATAGACACGCATGCATGAAGCAACACACATTGGATTAAAAATATAACGAAGCAGCACAAAGATGTTGTGAGGCATTACACTTATCTGTAGGCGCCACGAGTGACAGTGTTGAAAGATTCGTTCTGGGACTGATTTTTGATTCAACAAACAGAAGAAGTGGTTTTGTGTTATCAGGGCCTGAACTGCATAGTCTGGCCTCAATATTCAAATGAAACCAATAACAATGTCCTTCAGCAAAGTCATGGGAAAAACCAGGCCCAAAGAAACACAATTCCTTGCCGTCCAAAACCCTCAATAACTCCAAGTCAGTTCCCTTGAGATTCAAAATTATATTAAAGTATTTTAATAAATTATAAACAAGAAGAAAGAAAGCAATTTATATTGACAAAGATAGAATGAGGACGTGTTTCTTGTTGTATTCGCATAATGCAGTCTCCGCTATCTCCTTTCCCTTTGGTACATAACATTTGGACTCTCTGCAAGATATATATAAGATTAAATTATTTAGCATGATAACCCACGCAAACAGATATTAGAAGAGGACAAATTAAACGGGGATTGAGGACAAACAACCAAGAAGAAGCAATTATATGTTAATCCCATCATTATAAAGCACTAAGAAAACGAGAGAGAGAGAGAGAGAGAGAGAGAGAGAGAGAGAGAACCTAAGTTTAGACATGTAATAAGCAGAAGAAGGCCTCACTCGCCCAGGCAACAATTCTTTTTTCATCAGTCTGCGACTTTTGCGTAATGGGACTGCTCCCTAGCAAGGGATAGGTAGAGAGAATTACACTCAATCATGCATGATCATTAAAGAAAGAAGAAAAAAGCAAGTTAAATTTGTTACCTCATTCGTCTTCTGGCTTTTCTTGGGCAAGTTCAAACTTTTTTCAACAGTTGCAGCCTTGTTGTCCTCCCTGAATGAACAAGCATCATATCTGTAATTTTTCTCTCCAACCACAGATTTGAAAGGAAAAACAGATATTGCAATTCGAAAAATAACCGGATAAATGGAAGAAAAATGAAAAGTAACCGGAGATTAAACCAATCAAGCCAACATCAATTAACAACAAAGTTATATTCAATCAATATAACCAAACCCTAACTTTTGAAATTGAATGGTTAGATAAACTGAAATAAGCTACAGACCACCAAAGGAAAGTAAAATATATATGAAGAAATGAAGAATCAGGAGTCCTCAATCACTCACCCGAGCAATTGCCGTTTGCTATTCCTGGTTGGCGGCATTGTTCCGAAAGAATATATGTATAAAACAAAAAGTCTTAATCCAGGATAAGAGCCTAGCGCCGGTGAAATAAACGGCTACTCATATGACTGCTCCCTACAATGAAGAAAAAAAAATCATTTGATGCCTCAGTCTTAGAAATGGTTACGCGCAGCTGAAATAGAATTTGTTCAATATTTGAACGATATTTGATAGAAGTTTGGCAAAGATCTATTTGGCTAAACCGAAGTTTCCCTTTTATCTACAATGGATCAATCGAAGGGAAAAGGGAGACGCCAATAGGAAGAGGAAGGATGGAGAAAGAAGGGAGGGAGAGAGAGAGAGAGAGAGAGAGAGTTTGTATCCACCTGATGAGTGATTACTGTTCCGTGTCTCCCCGCAGCTGCCAACGTTGCCTAGGGTTGGAACGGCGGTATTTGGGTAGATGAAGCCATAGGCGATACGCGAGCTTATGATTTGAGTCAATGGTTGGGCCTACAATGAGTTGGGTAGATGGGCTTAAAAAATATGACAACACTTCCATTTTTTTAACTTTTCATCTAATTTCTCTCCCCTCTAATTTATCTTTGATTTTTGGCTCATTTACACGGATAGTGCACTAGTTCTTAAAATACAATACATAGAGATGTACGGAGCAATAATTATAATTGTATATATTAAAATAATAAAGAAATATTAATTATTTCATATTTATTATTTCTTTTACTTATGATATATAATAATTTAATATACGATTTATATGCTTATTTTACTCGTTATATGAGATTTGTTATGATATTGTTAATCGCAATATGATTTTTTTAAGAAATCAGTTTGGTGCAATTATGAACCATAACATGTAATTAAAAAATGATTGATTGAACCATAGCATTGCTCGAAGCCAATCGACGAATGGATTGATTTTAGTTCCTATTTCGAAGTCGAATTGAGATATGAACCATAACATGTAAAGAAAGGAGTTGGTTCGCCGAGAGCCATCAGAATAGCTGATCTTCGATCCACCTTTGTTACCAGCTATACAAACCTCCAATCGCGACTCTTACCCAGTCACGACCTTCGCAACCGCCACTGTCAAAAGGGTGATGGGGTTGGGTGGTCTACGATTGAGAAAACAATCCGAAAAAAATAGAAAAACAAAATGGAATAATTTGAGTGATACATGGCCGCCAATTCCGTCTTGGCCTTGTGCGATTTTAGCAGCCGCGTGCTAGAGAAGGAAGAAAGAGAGCAGGGGTGAGAGCAGAGATGCGGAAAGTTTGAGAGAGAGAGAGAGAGAGAAAGAGGGTAATCTTGATAGAGAAAGAAGAAAGAGAGCCGCCGCCTGACACATTAAATTTTTTCTAATTGTTAAAAAAGTGTAAATCTTGATGATAAATTGTAGTTTCGTATTCTTGATATTAATTATGATAGGTCGAAAAATGTGCGCGTTTTATATATTTAATAGTGTATTTTTATACACTTATTCTATTCGCACGTTTATATTTTTCGACCTATTTATTATTTGGATGGATTCATATACATTGATATTTTTATGTTTTATTTTCAGTGCATTAGAGTATTTTGTGGATGGCGAAGCCTTGGACGAAAGTGGACGTGATTAATTATCGTCTTCCCGATATAAGGTGAATTAAAGCCCAACTCATAATGTTTGGGCCCAAACTTCACGTGACTTTGGGGGCTGGGAAGATAAATTATTTTGGTAACTCATCAAGTCTAATGGGAGAGAATTATTTGGAGTGAAAGATTTATATGAAAAGTGAATAAAACGTGGCAATTAGGATTATATTGAGGATGGAGATGATTTATTTTGGCTGGAGAGTTCAATTGCACGGGGAGTCCTAGGCGAATTATTGGCTGTGAGGAATTAACGTAAAAAAAAAAAGCCGCAAGCAGAAAAGAAAATAGGGAGAAGAGAAAGAGAACTCACACGCGGAGGGAAGCCGCACCCGCACGCGAGGGAGATTTATTTTCTCTCTTTTATCCTTTATTTATTTTTATTAGTATGCTAGGCTAGTATTTTTATCCAGTTTTAGGGGATGTTTGAACCCTAACTTTAATTTGTCTATGAATTGAAGGATTTATTTTTATTGTTAGTTAATTAAGACGCCGTATTTATTTTTGTTGATGAGTTGATTCATGCTATCTGTGTATAATGTTTATGAATTATGGTGTTTGATTTAGTCTGGCCAACTACGTTAAAAATTCATAGTTTATTTGCTAGATTCGAGACTTTAATCCGTAATTGTTATTGTCTTGTTTCGTTAGTAGTAAACTAGGGGTCGTGCATCTCTAGGGTAGCCTGAGCATAAGTTAAATGGTCCGAGCTTGTGCGTCCATTGCTTAGACTGACCTATTTTCCTAGAAATTAATGCTGCTAGTGCACTAAATCTAGAGAGCTTATTCTAGGTTGTCCACTAGTTAGGTTTAGTCGAAGAGCTTATTTCGATTAAATATTCTGTAAGGGAGAATTCGGTTAACAGAGCTTGTTGTTAACTAGGGTTGGTAATTCGTTAGCAATTTAGAAAAAGCGTCGAAATTGATTAACGGTAGATTTAGATTGGGTGATAACTGAACCGAAAACTGGACTTCTCTTATTTTATTAGATTTTTATTTTATTTTCTTATTTTTATTTTTATTTTTATAAAACCAATCCCCCCCACCTTTTATTGCTTTCCTAATTTAATTCAATTAATACGAGATTGTCACAATTTAATTCCTGCTCCTCGTGGGATCGACCCTTACTCGCCACTACTACTAGTTAGTAGAGGTTAGTTGAGGAAAACTTATAAATTTAAATTTGCCGTGTTGCGACGCACGGTCAAATTACTTAAGCAATTTTGAAGGAGTAAATTTCTCATGATTTAATTCATAGATTTCGAACGAACATAGAATCACACGTTCTAACCAAACCCAATATATTTTATTTGTTTCTTGTAAAAATAAAAATATGATTTAAAAATAAATAGAAATAAACTAAGTGTGGTGAACTACTGTAGTATTACAATTAAAATTAAATGTTATTTAAAAAAAATCATGTTACAAATAGCGGGAAAATACACGACCTTTACTTGATTGGCCATTTAATCACGACTTTCAAACTTTGGCAAATAAACATGACCTTTACATTCTTGACAACTTAATACACGGATGTAACGCCCGTCAACGGAAAGCTAACGTGGGTTTGATTCAGCAAATAGAAGTTAAATCATCAGTTAAACCTTGGCAGTTTAATACACCACCTTTAGTTTTTTGGCAACCCGATACACGAACTTACCCTTTTTTGGCAAAAAGCTGACACATCATCATTTTATATTATCTTTTATTTGAATTCATTAAATTTACTTTTATTATTTTTATTTATTTTAATTCTACTTTTATTATTCAAATTATGTTTACAATTTAAATATATAGTGATTACAAACAAAAAATAAATAAGTATATATAATTTTATTTAAGTTTTGATTTATATATTTTATTTCATTCTACTTTATTAATTTTTAATATTTAATGTATTTAGTATTTAATTGATAAATAATAAATTAAATTAATATTAATAAATTAAATAATGAATAATAAACAATAAAACATATAATATAGAATTCAATAAATCATATAATTAAGATCTAATATACTTATTTATGTAGATAAATAATATTACATTATTTATATTATATGTATT